GGTACAGGGGGAGCAAGCAGAGAATAGTCAGGTCACGAGCAGGGTACAGCAACTAACAGGCAGGTAGTTACAGGGGGTCAGGCAGAGAATGGTCGGGGTCACAAGCCAGGGATCAGAACAGGAGAAGTCAGCAGAGGTCAGAATCAAGCCGGGTCAGCAACAAGACAGGAACAGGATGCAGGAACAAGATACAGGGCCCAGGAAAAACACAACACCAAGGCAGAGTCTGCAGGTCTGAATGTCCCTTAAATACACCAGTATAATTAGTTCCAGGTGTTTGACTGGCTGCAAGGTTGAGTCTCTGATTGCTGGGAGCACCCGCTGGCCAGCCCTGGTACTGCAGCTCAAAAGGCAGGCGAGTCCCACTATTGCTGGCCAGTCCATTCCTGACACCCACTAGTTCTGGGGGGGGGGGGGGGGGGGGGGTTCCAGCCAAAAAAATGCTGATTAAAGCCCATGAGTGCATGGACACATAGGATACTATGCTGGGGAGTTTACTGACTATAGAAAGAAAAACGCCCAAAACAGCCCTAGCTTCCCAGGACGTGGTGGATCTGGCCAGCCTTCATTGAAGCCACCCTTGAGTTACAGGAAATTCATTTAATGCAGTTTTATTGTCACAGCATACACTTTCCTTTTATAATGTCAGCATTGTAACAGCAACACAAACAATAGTTATTTTTGATAATCATGAGTCCTGCCTGTCTGCTGGTCATCTCTTTCCACAACTTCCTGGATTCCCTGCATGCTTTGTAGATCTCCCCTTATGCCTTTGGTTTGGTTACATTTTTAAGGTACCTTGCTGCCTGCAAGCAGAGATTCCTGTACCGACTGCCTCCTAGAGTGCCTCTGTAGTTCAGAAACTCTGAATTCTGTAACACAGCAGTGCTTACTTCACACAGTGAACGTGTGTCACAGAATTCAAGGAAGTATATGTGTAGGGATCTTCACAAGGAAAGTTTACAAGCTTCAAGATTGTTCAAATTAATAGAAGTAAGCTAGAAATAGCAGAAGTGTGGCGGGGAAATTAATATATGATTTTACATTTTGACCACAGATAAAGTACACTTTTTTTTTCAATGAACAATGTTTTATAAAATACTGGGCCTCTTTATTGCATAGTAAATTGTAATATAAAAGGCGAACATCATCTTACACGAATCTCCTAATGAAGACAAGCCTCGATGGTGCCTTCTTCACCAAATAAAAATAGTAAAGTGGTTCTAAAGGATGAAGGTTTTTTTTTTTTAACCTTAATACATTCTCTTAATCAAGGTGAAAAAAAAAAAAAAAAAAAAAAACTTCAGTGTGCTGCTCTCCCTCAGACAGGCAGCATCAGAGTGGGGCCGAGCCATGCTTTGTGTGCCAATGGACACACAGAGCCAGCTTGGGAGCAAGCACGCACAAGTGCCCCCATAGTAGGATAGCAGACAGTGCAGGTGGGGGGGGACCATAGAAAAAGAGGATCGGGGCTGCTCTGTGCAATACCACTGCACAGAATAGGCAAGTATAACATGTTTGTTATTTTAAAAAAATGTAATGCAAAGTTTTACAATCTACCACCAAATGATTATGTGCAATATAAATTAATATAAAGAATCCTCATAGAGTCCATTCAGTAAAGTCCACACATCAATATTGAATATGATCCTCAGTAAATGAAGCTATAAAGTCTTCCATCACCAGTGCAAAATCCAGCGCTTTAACACCCCATCAAAATGCACACTCACCAGAAGCTGGTGAATAACCAACATATCTTTGTGTATCCAATGATAATACTCCGCAGCTTAGCTTACTCCAGCTTAGAGATATCCATAAACTCCTTAGAGCACATGTAGGTAAGATAAAAGACACTCGCCATAGTGCAATAACGTATAAAACAATTTATTAGCTCAGACGAAGTTGTATGACGAAACACGTTAGCATGGTTTAGCCAGTGACGCCATCACGCACGCCGCTCCACATGTCCGGACCACGTGATCGCAACAACACCATCTTGGTTGCAGGCAGGTGGGTGAGACGACCAAGAACATTTCGGCTGCATTCACACATATACATGTGAAACTCAAAAAATTAGAATATTGTGCAAAAGTTCATTTATTTCAGTAATGCAAAGCACTTAAAAGGTGAAACTAATATATGAGATAGACTCATTACATGCAAAGGAAGATAGTTCAAGCCGTGATTTGTCATATTTATGATGATTATGGCTTACAGCTCATGAAAACCCCAAATCCACAATCTCAGAAAATTAGAATATTGTGAAAAGGTGCAATATTCTAGGCTCAAAGTGTCCCACTCTAATCAGCTAATTAAGCCAGAACACCTGCAAAGGGTTCCTGAGCCTTTAAATGGTCTCTCAGTCTGGTTCAGTAGGAATCACAATCATGGGAAAGACTGCTGACCTGACAGTTGTGCAGAAAACCATCACTGACACCCTCCATAAGGAGGGAAAGCCTCAAAAAGGTAATTGCAAAAGAAGCTGGATGTTCCCAAAGTGCTGTATCAAAGCACATTATTAGAAAGTTATGTGGAAGGGAAAAGTGTGGAAGAAAAAGGTGCACAAGCAGCAGGGATGACAGCAGCCTGGAGAGGATTGTCAGGAAAAGGCCAAAAGGCCATTCAAAGTGTTGGGGACTTTCACAAGGAGTGGACTGAGGCTGGAGTCAGTGCATCAAGAGCCACCACACACAGACAGATCCTGGACATGGGCTTCAAATGTCATATTCCTCTTGTCAAGCCGCTCCTGAACAACAATCTACGTCAGAAGCGTCTCACCTGGGCTAAAGAAAAACAGACCAGGTCTGTTGCTCAGTGGTCCAAAGTCCTCTTTTCTGATGAGAGCAACTTTTGCATCTCATTTGGAAACCAAGGACCCAGAATATGGAGGAAGAATGGAGAGGCACACACTGCAAGATGCCTGAAGTCCAATGTGAAGTTTCCACAGTCTGTGTTGATTTGGGGAGCCATGTCATGTCTGCTGGTGTTGGTCCACTGTGCTTCATTAAGTCCAGGGTCAACGCAGCCATCTACCAGGAGATTTTGGAGCACTTCTTGCTTCCTTCCGCAGATGAGCTTTATGGGGATGCTGACTTCATTTTCCAGAAGGACTTGGCACCTGCCCACACTGCCCAAAGCACCAAAACCTGGTTCAATAACTGTGGGATTACTGTTCTTGATTGGCCAGCAAATTCGCCTGACCTGAACCCCATAGAGAATCTATGGGGCATTGCCAACAGAAATATGAGAGACATGAGACCGAACAATGCAGAAGAGCTGAAGGCCGATATTGAAGCATCCTGGTCTTCCATAACACCTCAGCAGGGCCACAGGCTAATAGCTTCCATGCCATGCCGTATTGAGGCAGTAATTGCTGCAAAAGGGGCCCAAACCAAGTACTGATTACATATGCATGCTTCTACTTTTCAGAGGTCTGATATTGTTCTATGTACAATCCTTGTTTTATTGATTGCATGTAATATTCTAAATTTCTGAGATTGTGGATTTGGGGTTTTCATGAGCTGTAAGCAATAATCATCACAATTATGACAAATCATGGCTTGAACGATCTTGCTTTGCATGTAATGAGTCTGTCTCATATATCAGTTTCACTTTTTAAGTTGCATTACTGAAATAAATGAACTTTTGCACGATATTCTAATTTTTCGAGTTTCACCTATACAGTCAAAGCCAAAAATATTGGCACCCCTGCATTTCTGTCAGATAATGCACCACTTTGCCCAGAAAATTGATCAGTTTTTCTATTTTGTCCAGGAAGATTAGCTACAGTGCCATGGGCTGTAAACGTCTTGACAATATTGCACACAGTGGACACAGGAACATTAAGATGTCTGGAGATGGACTTGTAACCTTCAGATTGTCCATGCTTTTCTACAATTTTGATCTCAAATCCTCAGACAATTCTTTGCTGCTCTCTCTCTTCTCCATGTTCCGTGTGGCACAAAGAAAGACACAACAGTAACGTTGAATCAGTTTTTCACCATTTTAACCGGTTGCCAGTGGGATTTCTATATTGTCAGCACCTGTTAATTGATACAGGTGAGTTTAATTAGAAATTACAGGAGCATCACAAACTTGGAATGCAATTATTTCTTACAATTTTAAGAGGGTGCCAATAATTTTGCCCTGTCCATTTTTGGGGTTTTGCGTGGAATGCTTTTTGAGATTTGGCTTTTTGTTTATCCACTTTTTTGTGTCATACCAATACAAACAAAAGAAATAAACGTGAGAATGCCTAAACATTTATAACTGCAAAACTTTTCTGGGTGAAGTGGTGCATTATTTGACAGAAATGCAGGGGTGCCAATATTTTCGGCCATGAGAGAGAGAGATATACTATTCAGGATTACTGTTTATCATATTTGTAGTGTGTGCCTAAAGTGATACTAAATGTTATCCTTATTCTTCAAAAGTAATCCATATGCATCCACTACTTAATGCAATCCATTTTTAAAGAAATAATTTCTTACTGTGCCTTTCTACCTCCTTGGAATGTCTTCCATGAGCCCCTGAACCTCTTCCTCCCCCCCTCACTTTCATTTGTTTGGAACAAGCAGTGCATGTTAGTTGCAGTCATGTACACTGCTCTAAGCACACTACCAATCCCATAGTCCATAAACCACATCTCATCTTGGGAGCAAACAAAGAGAGGGTGGCTGCATTCCTCATACAGTGGGACCATGGGGAATGAATATAGCCACCCTCGAACAGGAAGTTGGATTAGAGCAGCAATTAAAAAAAAAAAAAAAAGAATAAAGGAATGTTGAGATTTGGAGGCTGAAAGCAAAAGAAGGTACTTTTTGAGCTAAGAATACATACTTGAATAGAATATATATTTTAAAAACAGAGTTTAGTGCCACTTTGAAAGTGTGAAGCTGCCTCTATGTATGACAGCAGGACAATCTAATATTTGCTAAGCAGGGAAGTTTGACATAATGCTGTAACAAAACTAAGTAGTTTCATATAAAAATCGTTGTTACCTTGAGGTCTGGAAAAGGAAATCGCTGTCACTGGTTATCAGAGTCAATAAATATTCTCGTGTCTCTTGGAGGATCTGGACCTTTTGCTCCAGGTTAAAGTAATTGATTGAGCCTTTGTTGCCTTGTAGCCGCAAACTGCTGCTATTGAAGATGTCAAATAATTGTCCAATTATCTAGAAATAAAAAGTTAAACCACACTTTAGGATTGCCAGAAGCTAATGCCAAACAAATCTGCCTTCTCTAAATAAAACAGAATTCACAGATAATGACTTCAGTTGCACAAACTATCAGAATATTTGTACCCTTTGTGACTTCTCCTCAGCAGCCTATACAAGAAGCCTTAGCCGTCACTCAGCATTTTGTAATTGAGGGTAAGAGGTCAGGTACTAGGTGTCTTTATCAGCTTTTCCCCATTGATAAAAGTGTTACTTGGTTGTACTGAGTGTTTTCAACAGTTGAACGTAAAAAAACATCTTTTATATTAAATTCAACTGGTGTCCTTGGTAAAACAATGGAACATACCTGAATAAAATTGACAGTAGCTTGTGAATAATCAAACTCTTTACACTTCAGTTCGTGTATTAGTTTCAGTGCATCTGCTACTGTGTTGCTTAGCTTGTTAGCCAGTAAGGGCATCTTTGCAAGAAGAGGGAACATCCTGGAACATCTGGGCATATTCATCAGTTCAGTGATATACAACCATGTAATAGTTCCATCTGGACCCTGTAAAGAACCAAGGTCTTCAACCATGTTAGCAACTGTCTTTAGTTCATAGCACATGTCAAACATTACATAATGCTTAAAATCATTATTAGGCAGAGAGAAGTGTGTCTGCAGGTTCCAGGGGTCTGTAAATGTACAGCCCAGCAGAGTGCACATCTCTTCATTACGTGGACATCTTTCCATGGACACAGCAACTACCTCGAAGCCATTCTCACATAGTTCATACACAGCATGACAAAGCAGTTGTTTCTGGGCTTGTGCAGTTAATGAATTGACAAAAAAGTATGCAAAAGGAACTTTCCAGTGTCCAACAGTTCCCACAAGCATGAACACAAGCGCCTCACTGGCCACTTCCTGATTTCCAGTTCCTCCTGTACCCAAGTTTACAAAGCCAACAAAGATTTCTTTGTGAATCAAAGATAACATTTTGCTGAACAGGTATGGTGTCCATGACAATACATGCACGGGTATACAAATGAGGATGCGTTCCTTTTTTCTCTAGCAAGGTTTCAATCACAGATGAATTAATTCCAGGACCTTCACAGTCTGACTTAAGCCACCTGGAGACAGAAGAAAAGATTGCTGAAACAAGAAGAATTATAGAATAGCTGCAGCAATAAACGTAACCATACCAAAATATAAATATACACACTGCTGTTTCAAAGTGGGTTATTGGACAAAAAGGGAAGGGAGACTGTGTGTGTGTTTGTGCAAACACACACACACACACACACACACACACACATTGCCAAAAGTATTGGGACACCTGCCTTCACACGTACATGTACTTTAATGGCATCCCAGTCTTAGTCCGTACGGTTCAATATTGAGTTGACCCACCCTTTGCAGCTATAACAGCTTCAACTCTCTTGGGAAGGCTGTCCACAAGGTTTAGGAGTGTGACTAGGGGAAAGTTTGACCATTCTTCCAGAAGCGCATTTGTGAGGTCAGGCACTGATGTCGGACGAGAAGGCCTGGCTCATAGTCTCCACGCTAATTCATTCCAAAGGTATTCTATCGGGTTGAGGTCAGGACTTTGTGCAAGCCAGTCAAGTTCCTCTACCACAAACTCACTCATCCATGTCTTTATTGACCTTGCTTTGTGCACTGGTGTGCAGTCATGTTGGAACAGGAAGGGGCCATCTCCAAACTGTTCCCATAAAGTTAGGAGCATGAAATTGTCCAAAAAGTCTTGGTATGCTGGTGCCTTAAGAGTTCCCTTCACTGGAACTAAGGGCCAAGCTCAACCCCTGAAAAAACAACCCCACACCATAATCCCTCCTCCACCAAACTTTACGCAATGCAGTCAGGAAAGTACCGTTCTAACAACCGCCAAACCCAGGCACGTCCATTGGTTTGCCAGGCAGAGAAGCGTGATTCGTCACTCCATAGAACACATCTCCACTGCTCTACAGTCCAGTGACGGCGTGATTTACATCACTGCATCTGACGCTTTGCGTTGCACTTGGTGATGTAAGGCTTGGATGCAGCTGCTCGGTCATAGAAACCCATTCCATGAAGCTCTCTATGCACTGTTCTTGTGCTAATCTGAAGGCCACATGAAGATTGAAGGTCTTTAGCTATTGAGTCTGCAGAAAGTTAGGGACTTCTGCGCACTTCAGAATGCGCTAACCCCGCTCTGTCAATTTACGTGGCCCACCACTTGGTGGCTGAGTTGCTGTTATTCCCAGCCGCTTCCACTTTGTTATAATACCACTTACAGTTGACCGTGGAATATTTAGTAGCAAAGAAATTTCACGGATGGACTTATTGCACAGGCGGCAACCTATCATGGTACCACGCTTGAATTCACTGAGCTCCTGAGAGAGACCCATTCTTTCACAAATGTTTGTAGAAGCAGTCTGCATGCCTAGATGCTTGATTTTATACGTCTGTGGCGATGTGTGTGTGGGTGTGTGATTTACTAAAACTTGAAAGTGCAAAATCTGGTGCAGCTGTGCATGGTAGTCAATCAGCTTCTAACTTCAGCTTGTTCAATTAAGCGTTGACAAAAATGCCTGGAAGCTGATTGGTTTCTACACAAAGCTGCAGAAGATTTTGCATTCTCCGGTTTTAGTAGATCAACCCCATCGCATACATCGTCTATTTTATTCATGCATTAAACTTGGGACTATTTTTTTAAATAGTTTTATTCTGGCCATTAAAACACATTCAGAAACATGCTTGAACATCAGATTACACACTGCTGACTTAGAGGAGGTATATACTGTATATATCAAATCACCTAGAGGAGACATGACCATCTGGCATAGTTAAACACAGGTTACAACCAACATTCTTTGCAAACTGAATGCTCCTGCAGTAAATGTTTAATTGTAAAATGAAGATTTAATAGATCATTTTAGTTTGTAAAGTTTTAGGAAAAACGTTAAATTATCCATAATTTATTGCACTTTACCAGAAAACCAAAACATTCAAAACGAAATATGCATAAAAGGGACTGGGGCTCTACTCTCTTTATTTTTAAGAGTAGTACAAGTGATACATTCAATGATGTTTAGATAAAATGCTCTGTGTATTATTACACCAATCAGCCATAACAATATGACAAGTGACAGGTAAAGTGAATAACAATGATTATCTAGTTACAAGGGCATCTGAAAGAGGGTGGGATACATTAGGCAGAAAGTGAACATGTCCCTGAAGATGTATTGAAAGCCAAAAAAATGGGCAAGAAGAAGGATTTGAGCGACTTTGACAAGGTCCAAATTGTAAAGGCTAGACAACGGGGTCAGAGCATCTCCAAAACTGCAGCTCTTGTGGGATGTTTCCTGGTCTGCAGTGGTCAGCTCCTACTAAAAGTGGTAGGAAGGAACACCGGCAACAGGGTCCAGAATGGCCAAGGTTCATTGATGCACATTGGGAGCAAAGGCTGCTTTAGTTCAAATTGCTGAACAAGTTAATACTGGATCCAACAGAAAGATGTCAGAGCACAAAGTACATCGCAGTTTTTTTCATATGGTGCTGTGTAGCTGCAGACCGATCAGGGTGACCGTGCTGACCCATGCCCACAGCCAAAAAACACTTACACTTGGCACGTGAGCATCAGAACTGGACCACAGTAGTAATAGAAGAAATTGTCCTGATGAATTCAAGAATAGTCGAGGAACACAACAACAAGTTTGAGGTGTTAAATTCTCCAGATCTCAATTCAATCGAGCATCTGTGGGATGTTCTGAAAAAACGTCTGATCCAAGGAGGCCCCGCCTTGCAACTGATAGGATTTAAAGGATCTGCTACTGGCGGCTTGATGGCAGACATCACACAATACTTTTAGAGGTCTAGTGGAGTCCATGCCTTAACGAGTTATGGTGGGTCGTCTAAATGTTATGGCTGATTGGTGTATATTTTTTCTTTTTGAAGCTGGGAGATGTTAAATGTTGCCAATCAATATGAAGACTTGGCTACTTTATTTGTTTTCCAGTCTACTTACTGCCTTGATAATAAAAATCCTTAAATTTACACACAGAAGCGTCAGAGACCTCCTTTTTGAAGTGGAGATGCTCTCCTTACCTTCTCTATCATAAAAAAGCCCACCATTTACACACACGTGATTGTATGTCAGAGCAGTGACAGAAAGAAGCTTTTTCAATCAGTGACAGATTATCTGAAAGGAAACACCATTTGCTATGCTCTCTTTTTAGAAAAGCAGTTTTAAATATGACTCATCCAAAGCCATTATAGCTTCTCTATAAAATGAAAAATATACTCACTTCCGAAGTCTTCTGGGCCCTGGAAGTGGCAGCTTGATTTCCTTCCTCAAATATTTATAAGATAGCGGGTCATTAAGCTGTAGAGTCAGGGAAAATAGGCGCTGCTGTGCAGAATACTCAGATTCTGGCTTTTTAAATAGTTCCAGGGGAATGTCTAGAGACACAGAATGTTCACTTGAAATAATTAAAATATTATTGCAATGTTTATCAAAAGCCATACTGTACTTTAAGCCAGCCAATGTATATCCCTGTATAAACCTTCCTCTAACCAGCATGTTTTGTGAGAAAGAAAACCACAAGCCAAGCAAAAAACACTGGAGGGTGAACTATGTCCCTTAATGGACTGCAAGAAAAATATTTTACAGTATGAACAAAAAAAAAAAAAAAATGTCTTTATTGTCCATTGAGGAACACAAAAGGTCAGGACATCCAAAAGCAGTCCAACTGAGGGGTGGACAACAGCCACTGACAGATCCAAGAAAGGACCAGGAAGCATCAAAAACACAGAACTACCAAAAGGGCCAATACCCGAACCTGAAACAGACAAGATGAAGTGAGGAATTACCAATGAAGGGGAATGAATGAATCAGTAAACGCGTATTCATAGTTTGAAATTTTAAGAAAAAGTCCAGGAAGTGACGAAACGCATCGGGACACGTGACGTCTGACGCACTGACGCGGAACTGGAAGTGCGAAAGCGGCCATTTTGAAAGTGGGAACATGTGCTGGTTTCCCTACTATAGCATACATTGGAAGGTTCTCTGTTACTGGGAGCTGTATTCTTCTGATTATACATTGGAAGCTTCTCTGCTACTGGGAGCTGTACTCTTCTATTTATGATGTAAGTTATTTAATAAATGCTATTTTAAGAATTCTGTCATCATCTCTAATCCCTGATTTATTCCATGAGGAGAATGGAGGAGAAACAAACAGGAGTAACTGGGATCCTGAAGAGTGTTTTCATCCATTATCTGAGGAATGCCCTTTTGGTACTGACATAGAGTAATTATTCACTGTTACACCAGCTGGAGTGGATTACATTATTGTTACACCAATTTTATATCTTCTTGTGCACAAATGGAGAAGGAATTTTAGGATAGAGCTGGTTTTGGAAGTTTGATCACTTTTTTGTATTAAGTGTTGCTTTACACAAAATTGGAGTGACTGTGTATTGTTCACAATTGTAGTATTCACAATTGGAGTGCATTCACGTGTATTATTGCTATTTATATTGATGATATTATAATTTGTATTTTTTAGATTTATATATTATATATATTTTTTTTTTTTTCGCTCACGTGTGTATTGGCACGTTATGCAGGTTTTGCATGATTCACGATTTATGGCACATTAATTATTCTGTGTGAGGTAATACACTATCTTGAGTTTTTATTTTTTTTTTAAAGTACAAGAAAATTTGGAAACACCACGTGGGATAAAGTAAAGAAATACACCTATTTGGAAGAAAAAGACTATTATATAGAGATTTTTCCTTTATATAGTTAAAAAAAAAACAACTCCGCTCTTATTACATGACACCAAAGGGAAGTTCTGTCTTATAAATAAAGTATTACATTTATTTGGGTACAGTGTTTCTTGACCAAGTAATTGTCAGCCAAGCTTTCACAGCACTGAAAAATGGCCTCATATTGAAGAGGTATTAAAAGCTGGTACTTGATTAGTTAAGGACAAAACTGAGTATAGGTTCTGGACAAACTTTGTTAAAAAAAAGGACCTATCTCCAGGTGATCAGATCCCATTAAGGCCTCTTAACATACTCTATCCCCAGCAGGGGACATCATGTCATGATGTCCACATGGTATATCCGCTAACAATCCAGGGGGAACACCAGGCCCTCCAGCAATTATTCCTTCCTGCCATGCAGGAGATGAGATGCACTCAGATGCACAAACCTCTCTGTCAGGTGTGGAGATTGGAGGGAGATGGAGAGCAAGTTGACAAGGCATGGTTTCTAAGACGAGAGAGTGGTTTTCTCAGAAATGTCCCATATAAGAACCAAGCCAATCGGCCTGTCACAAGGAGAACTCCCAAACGTCCCCAGAGGTGAAGGTCCTACAACATCTAAAGTGGTGTCCAATGGAGGGATCAATTCACAGTGAGATCCCTCGAAAAAGCAGGAACCAAATATTCTGGAGACCTAAAACTAGAGTCCCCTGCGGGGCAGGGGAGGATACCGCCCTATTCACCCCACCCTAAGAGACTGAAGAGTAACATCAGGGGCTTCTTAGTCCATGGGCACCTTCAGGATGTGTAGCCTCAGGTTGAGGCCCATAGACTAAGAATCACTGAGAAAAGGAGGGACAATGTTAGGAGGGTATTTATCAATACCCTACAAACCCCCAAAGTGGAAGGAGGAGAAATTTCATTGCCAGATAAAGAAGAGGTGTGCAATGACCCACAGGACGCAGAACGTCCTTGGTGAGGGTAGAAGTTAAACTGTCTCTCTATTCAGAAAAGTCCAGAAAACTGACCCTCTTCATGAAATGTCATTTAAACATTTCAAAAGGGGTTACCAAGAAAAAATACCAGGCTGGGCAAAAGGTTTAGTGCTTCTAGAAATAGCAGGTGCCATAGACAAAGACTGAGGGTTCAGGTTCTTGTTAGGAAAGGGGGCAGTAGGAACTGGTCCAGATCGACCCTGTAGGACAGGAGGTAACTTTAAAGAGGAAGAATACTAAGAAGTACCAAGTAGGGATCAACATAATCTCAAGAAACAAAATTTTACTGTATGGGGGAATAATACCAGAAGCCAAGTTCCCACTAAAACAGAGCACGGGGTCCAAGGAGTCTAGGGAGCCACACTGCAAAGTGAAGTAGTGCAAGTAAAATGGCGATTGACAGCTGAAGCAAAGGGTTAGCCTAATCGCTAGGTGGAGTGTCCTGGGCACCCAAATGTCAGTGAGATAAACCAATGAGGATCCAACTGGATGTACAAATAGTCCCCTCTTTTAGAAAGCTTTAGCTGACCTCTAACTACAAGCCCTAAGGGCCGAGTATGATATAGGTTTCTGAGACCTACAGGTACCAGCTAGGTAGGCTTCCTCATCTGGGCAGGCTTCCTCAGATACCTTTGCTGACCTCCTGCTTTGAGAAACTAGCACACTTTGGAAACCTGTGGCATAGAGAATCATGGTGTCTGAAAAGACAACATCCCTTGAAGGCCAACCTGGTTAGATGCCCCTTGGATGCAGCATTAGTATCCCAAATACTCAGCAACAGATTGCTCTGCGCATCTGTATGGACAACAGTTTCCGCTGAGATATGGTTGTACCAAGCCATCACTTCTAAAGTACAAGGCCCCAGACATTAGCTTCAGCTGCTCTATGCAAAAGGGACCTACCTCAGCGATGAAGGACATCTACCCATTCTGAAATGGTTTAATAGATTAAAAGGTTTGATGATGATAATAATAATAATAATAACAACAACAACAACACTATGAAGTCACATTACACCATAGCAGCATACTATGTTAAACAGATCTTGCAACCATGCCTCTCTACTTGTAACATGGCTGTGGGTCTTATTCACAATAACAGAGACCTGCTGGAAAAAAACTCCACTATTTTAAAATGCTCTGTCCTGTCCTCCTACAAAGGTAAAACAGCTGTTCAAATGAGAATCCTAAATGAGGCAGAACTGTCCTTTTCAAAAGGTCATGCATGCACAGTGAGCTCTCTCTCCTGTCGTCTTGGATGATCACAGCGGCCGCAACGAAGAAGGAAGAGAACACACTGCCTTTGTGTGTCCAGAAGGTTACAGCTCAGCCAATCCTACATGTTCAGTCCAGCAGGGTCCGGGTAACCAAAGTTAAAGCTGAGGAAACACCGAACCGGATAGCAGTATACAGTGACCTGCTTAAGCAATTGCAAAGGTCTCAGAAGAAAAAAAATTCCATGAAGTGAGAAAGGCTAACAAAAAATTAGCCAAAATAAGTGTCCATCCTCTTAGGACACTAGCAAAATAAATTAGGCATACTGGGTAGAGGAGGGGTTTGTACAGCAGCTAGCTTCTAACATTTTTTTTTGTCAATGTCCTAAATTTCAAAAGGAAGCAGTATAACCACAAATATTTCTAAGTTCCTGTGTCCCTCAATAGATAACAAAAAGGCTTATGCAACAGTATATTTGTGTGTCTATACAGCTAGCATAAAGCAGCTGCATATTTTAACCAGAATATCATATATACTATGAATCAAGTCATCGTTCATGGTTAAAATTACAAAATGCTGGTTTGTACCTTCATAGGGTTGAAGAACCTCCTGGAGTTGAACACACAATAACTTCCTCTTCCTAAGCTCCTGGTATATGCTACGACAGGTCTGACGAAGCCTCTTCTCTCGATCTTTTGCATTTCTTAGCTCTTTCTCTTTCTGGGCTCTGGAATCTTCAGATACTTGCAGTTTCTTTTTTAAGGTTTCAATATCTGGAATGAAATATGGGTGATCCTAGAACAGAAACAAAATACAAAAAAAACAAAAAACAAATTAGCATATGATTTCTAGATATGTTTGTACAAGGTTCTGCAATGGACTGTCGAATATCCTCCAAAAATAAAGAACAGCAATATATTAGAATCTTTTAGTGTTTTGTTTTTTTACATAATATTACACTGTGGGGTACTAGAAGGTGTATTTTGCATCCCTTCAACTGGTCCCTAAGGTCAGGATCATAAAGGAAAAAATACAGCTTTCAAACAGACAATTTTCTACTTAAATTAGCACCTCCATACTGTCCAGCATGCATGCAAGCCTTTTAAAATAATCGGCACTGAAAGAGAAGAAAATAGGCAGCAGAAGCACAATGATGAAGGAGGTAGTGCTACCTATAGTGCTAAAGCACATTCCAGCTGTTCTAAGGACCCAAAAAGAGTAGTACAATGGGTTGTCAATGGGCTTAACAGTGAGATTTGCATCATCATTTCCTGCTCTATGGCCAAGCAGGAAGATGCCAGCAGAGGGAAAGGCTTCCATGAAGATGGCACTAGTACATGTGGAAAGGTGAGGGAAGAACACAGAGCTCTCAACATTGGAGCAGAGCAAACTCAGATATGTTTGTCATAAGCAAGTATTCCAAGTGCTGCCACCACTCACTAAACTGTTTACATCCAAGCAAACAAATAAAATATAAAGCTGAAATACAGATAATGACATTTTCTTGCTTGCCATAAAACATCATTAGTTTGTGCCGTCCCATAGTGAGGATTAGAAGCTTGATTACTATAGGGGAGGTTTAATGCTCCCATGTAACTTGTCCTATGGAATTGCTCCTCTTTGACAGTTGTGCAGCTGCACCCTCTCTGTTGGCAATATGTAAAATGCAGTTTCGCTCACTATCCTGAAGCAGAGGCGAGTGCCAGCTATTGGCGGAATGAGGAATAAGGTAATTATTCCTCTACCTGAAACCTCTCTAGGACTAAATGAACATTTAGCTCTTTCTATTGAGAGGGGTTAAAAACTAATGACATTTTATGGCTGATTGGAGCTAATATGTAAAGTAAACCTGTTATTATGCCCATACATGGCACAGCAACAGATTCACTAAGTTGCAGACTGGTGGGTTTAGGGTTTTTTGTATGAAGGCTTTCAATTTACTTATTTATTATACTAGTTAAACTCAATAAAAGTGTGTCTTTTTCAACCTATCTCCTTCCTTGCTGCCCTATTTACCAGCTGAAGTTCTTTAAATACTCGGAACACTTTGGGGTATGGGAGAACATGTGACTCCCAATGCTTAGTGTCTGAGTAACCAATAGGTAGGTCCAATCACTGTCAATCAAGGGAGTCAAGGCAGAAGGTCTTTGGCTCTGTGTATGTTCCAATGTAGATTGACAGTAAGCTTATAGAGGGTTCACTTTATCTGGAAGGCTAAGCCCACGGGTATCCTTAGCCAATTCATCTGCAGAATGTACCAGAAGGTGTACCAGTCTAACTGCCTATATTCCCAACCATAAACTGAAAAAAGGCATGAGCGTGACATAATTTAACAACTAACCTGCAACTGTACCTGACAGTTACTTGTAGTATCTATATTTGTGCCAAGTGTCATATTCTCTTCTAGCTCTTCATTGGGAGTTTCAGAAATTCTCAAAATATCCTTGCTGGGGAGTTCGATCACATCCATTACTTGGTTTTCAATCATTTCTGGCTTCTGGAGAAATATTTTCATCTAAAATACCATTCAAATATTTTAGGAGTTGCAAACATAATTTATGTATACAAATAACTTTTTTTAATCTGCTGTTTTGGCTCAGAAAAACATTTTTGTGAGAAAACCAAGTCCATTTTACCATGAAACTATTCTGGATCCCAGTGACTGAAACAGGCAACTTAACAGTCATACAATCTAGAGCAGGCTATTTGTATCATACATTAAATTACAGCACCACTACTGTTCCATATAGATTTATCTATTTTCCTTTTGCATGTTAAGTGTACCAGTGGTGTTCTACAAACTTTTAGAACACTACACTGGAAAGCAGGCATCAGGAGCCCAGGAGCTTTAAAATTTTATTACCCACAGGACTACTTTAGGCCTCATGCACACAGAGAGTTTTTGCAGACACTTTTAAGGGCGTCAGGTGGTTTTCTTTTTTACTGCTTCCAAACAGCCCTCTATGGTATCCTGTGTGTGCATGCACACTTACACTTTTAGAGCTTTTAGCAGCAGTAGTGTTTACCAGCAGGGAAAAAAAACCCTAAGCCAGTGCGCCCTGGAGCAGCAGCATTTTGACAGCAAAAACACTTGACATGTGTAAACGTGTTATCGCTAGGCACGTTTAGCGCTTGAGCGTCAATTCATTTCAATGGCTAGAATAAATTATTCTGACCAATTAAATGAATTAACGTCCAAGTGCTTGCTACTTGTAAACGTGCCTAAACGCTTGTAAAAGCATAAGACACTTTGACAAGCATAGGTTATTTTTTATGCCAAAACGCTGCTGCCAAGAGGAGGAGCATTTATAAAATGTCCTGTGTGCATGAGGCTTTAACGGTATGATACATCATTCTTCACAGGATACACAGTAGCACTCAATTGCTTTGATATGAAGGCACATGCAGCGTTTTATGCTCAGTACTTCATGTCAATACTCCAGTTCGTCAAGCTACTGAGAAGGCAAGTTCTTAAAGAATAGTTATTTTGGACAATCCAATATAAGCTAACTTGAAAAATCTCCATTGATGTTGTGAGGTCTGCCTGTCATCTCTTTCCACAACTTTCTGCATGTTCTGCAGCCTCCTTTCTGCTGTGTAATCAATCTCTAAAGACTACATATCCCATGGTACCTTGCTACTTGCCAGCAGTGAATCCTGTACTGATTCCACCTCCTGAAAATCCTCCTCTCGGCACCTCTGTAGTTCAAAAGGCAGACTCTAAATTCTGTGACACAGCAGTGCCTAGTCACAGGGTATAGTGAATATGTGTCACAGAAATCAAGAAGGCAAATGTGTGGGGATCCTAACAAAGTAAGTATACAAACTTCAAGATTGTTTAGAGTAAAAGGAGTAGGCTAAAAATAACTGAAATACAATGTGGAAATATATGATTTTACATCTTGGCCATATATATGCTTTATATTTAAAAGGATAAATGTATCCTAAAGAATATGCAAACCCAACATTTCATATTCCTGATATGTGCCTGCTGTACCATTTACTTGTATGAAAAAGTATCCTGTTCTCTTTGTATTGTTTCCTTTGTGTGAAATCTGTAGTGTTCCTGCCAGTCCCTCTGCTCTCCTATCAAAAGGTGACCACACTACACATGAGAGCACAGCATGGTCAGTTCTCTAGCTGTGCTGGGAACTCCGCCTGCTCTCCTCCAATGATCAGAGTTGATAACATGCCCCCCCCCCCCCCCCATACACACACAGCCTTTCACTGGGAAGATCAGTGTAATGCTCTTTCTCCTCTCCTAGCTCTTATGAGAGAGAGAGAGAGAGAGAGAGAGAGAGAGAGAAAGAGAGAGAGAGAGAAAGAAAAGAAAGAGTGAGCAATATCAACTAGACTGCCAACCAAAATATTTACCCCCCCCCCCCAAAAAAAAAAAAAAAAAAAAAAAAAAAAAAAAAAACTTAGCATCAGCGAAATAGGAAGAAGTAAGCAGTACAGTATCGACCTGTGAGTCTTCTGGAAAATTAAAGATGCTGGGTATGACATCATCTCGTAATCTCTTTGTCTGCCCAGTAGTGTCAAAGCAGCTTTGTTGGAAGTGCAAGCTGCAAAGCCTCTGGTACCTGGATGGCATCCATAACTCTCCTGTACTCGTGGCTCTTTTCATAGCACGACACCATTTATCCAGGAGGGCAGGATTTGATCTAGGAAATCTGCAATAACAATGTATAGCTTATATATATTTTTTTTTTTATATGCAGCAACCAAAACAACTTAATGGAATGCTAGATAAAAAAAGAAATTAAAACCAATTATACTTTTCCATTCAAAAAAATCTTTTAATGGAATGTGTAAGAAAGTACACCCCGAGAATGATGAACCTGCCTACCTGTAAATGGAGACAAACCGGTAAAGTTTAAAGCAATTTTATTTATTTTTTTCTGCAAACTTACACTGGTCCAGCTTGGCTTGATGTAAGTACGTATATCTGATATCCTGAGGGCTGCTGGGGATGCTTAATATCTCTGTAGTTGTCTATCATAATATGGATACTTAGATTGCGCCAAGCTGGACCAATGAAGTTTGCAAAAAAAGATCATTCCCGTAGCTCAGATTTAAACAGTCCATTCAATGCTTCATTCAGTCCTCAGCGGCTTCCAAAATATTATTCCACAATCCACTTAAAAATAAATAAATGCATATATTCTTGCAGGAAAAAATGCATTTATTATCTTTTTCACAGCAGCCCTCATAACATTGATCCCAAGATTATTGGATCGCAGGAGCAACGTCAGGCTTCTGCACATTGTTTCTCTTGCTCTTTGTCTGTACCTCTGTACTGGCTTTCAGTTAGAGAAAAGGAGGAAGTGTTAATGGACTATGAATGCACTGGTTACCACACTTGTATTCTATTGACAGCTACAAGTCTGTCTGCCGCGGTGGAATATGGGACTTGTAGTTCACTCATTCACAGATCTCTGAGAATGAATGATGCAGCTGTGCAGGCAGAGCCAATTTAAAAATAACAACTGCTGTGGGGGCCAAGAATCCATACACATTGTCCCAGGCAAAGTGGTCTAGAGGTGTAGGGCTGCTTAGCAACACATTACATGTTACACCATAAAATGCGAGTGTAACATAGCTAAACCTGGAGTTACCCTTTAAGGTTGTAATGCAATTACATATAAAGGCTATTTCTGCTAAGAATAATGTTTGTTTTCAAGAAAAATCCATTTTTGAGAGAAACATGAAAGCTGCCTTTTTGCTTCAGCACTTTTGAACAACTAAGCCAGAGAAAGAATGCAGATATGGCTTCTGATTTTACTTTGAGAATTTAGAAAATACAATGGGCAGCCAAGGTTAGCATAATAGCAAGGCAACAAGCATTTCCAGAAGACGGTCAGATTAGGAGGCTCCATGTTTCTCTTAGGTAGGGCTTACTTTAAAGTTTAAATGAAAAAAAAAAAGAGGGAATTGTAGTTTGAATATATACAATATATCACATCCATAATACAAGCTACATTTATAGCAGAAAAAAAAACTGTAAAAACTAAGGTAAAACTAATATCAAGCAGTATACAGGAAGATAATGTACCTGTGAAATGTAATTCCTTTTTCTCTAGCCTCAAGCGTATACCTTGATTTGCATCCCGAAGCAGCACAGGATACTGGCATCTTGATGCTGCCCTCTGAAATGAAATACATTTTAAAAAAATATAAAAAATGTACTTGCAATGTGAATGACTGTCAGTTTTACCAGTTCTGAAAGAGATAGAAGGGAGGGGTGCTATTCTTGAGTAGGGACTCTCTTCATCCGCACAGGGCAGATTGGCAGCAGCAGGAGCCTTTGGCTCCTGCTGCTGTCAATCACATTCTGTGACGAGGGAGAAGGGGGGGCATACATTGCTGAGCCACACTGTGTGTCCATAGACGCAGACAGGGCTGCTCAGGATCTAACCTGCATGGGTGCTCCTATAGAAAACAACTTTCTATGGGGGCACTCGCTGAACAGGAGGAGCACTGGAATGCATTAATGCTCAAATGCATTTGCTGTTTAGGTGAGTTCCTTGATTTTTCTGCTCTTCAGCCCCTTTCCTGAGCACACTTTTGATGTATTTGCTCCTCTTTTTCTAATACGCCTTAAACACCTACATGTGCATGGACACACAGGCTAACACAGAGGTGCGCTTACACATACAAGTACACCACTGCATTTTTCTGTTTTTTTTTTAATGTGCACCCCTAAACTTCTTCGCACGCGAGTACTCCGGATGATGTATTTCGATTTGTACATTATCGCAACTCAGCCTCTATTTATCAGCCTAAATTTGCAAATTCTGTTACTTCCTCCCTATTCTGCATATCCTCCTCTGACACCCTTCTTGACAAAACAGATGCCCTTAATCATGAGCTTTCATCTTCTCTTGACACCTTTGCACCATTAAAAGCTCAAACTGTCTCATTCTCCTACCCAGTATAATGACCACCTTCACGCCTGACTGTTCATTATCAGGTTTGGAAAACGGAAAATTGAATGAATGACAGATACTTTTTTAATTTTCCTTTCCTGACGAGCGTCAAGTCAGCACAGCTGGGTAAGGGCCCTGTCTCCCCCCCCCCCCCCCCCCCAATGCTTCCAGAACCTAACTCATAAATTTGAGCCCACCTGCAGCCTCAACGTTCTGTAACTAGTCCTACCAAGCTGGGTGGGAATTGTGCTGACATGGAGCTCGTCAGGAAAGAAAAATTTCAGCAAGTCTCTGTCATTCAATTTTTCATTTTCCTGACAGCTCCATGTCAGCACAGCTAGGAACTAAATAGCCACACAGGGGAGGGATAATGCTACACACTCCTCAATTCTGGCTAAAAAGCAGAAGCCAGGATGCCTCTGCCAAACTCAACTGTCATTAAAACTGCTTCTATACAGTAATGAGCCATGAACGTATATATTAACCCCCACATAGCTGCCTTGCAGATAGTGGCTGGGAACACTCAACCTGCTGCCGCTCACAAGGCCGAGACCCTTCAGATGGACAGTGAAGTGATCCCCCTGGCACAGCCAACCCTTTCAACTTGTAGGTCAAGATGATAAGCTTCACCAACCAGGAGGCAATAATCTTGTTGGAAGCCATAAAATCAATACACGCTCCACCTGGAATGACAAACAAGTGCTCCAACTTCCTGATGCCAGATGTCGTCTTGATGTTAAATGTTAAAGCTTAACCCACATCTGATGGGCTAACTTCTTGGGTACTCCCCAAGAGGGATGTAGGAAGGACAACTTTTCATGTGATATGGACTCTGAAGCCCACTTAGGCACGATCTTGAGCATCAGCATGAGTACCACCTTATCCGGGATGAACGTTAATAAAGGGTTCTTTAAACCCCAGGGCCGCTAATACGGACACTCTTCTGGTTGATATAATTGCCACCAGGAAAGCAGTTTTCAGCAAGAGGTACCACAAGGGGAAACTTTGATTGAAGGCATCTGATGAAAACAAGTCCAACACCAATGGGAGATCCCACTTCACAAGCAATCCCTTAGGTAGGTTTCAACTAAGTTGCAGCTTGAAGGACAGTATAATTGAGTGTTGGATGCCCACTGTATGCCAGTGAAGGCAGAGATAGCTGAAATGTGGTCCCATAGCATACTTATGCATAAACCTAATCAAGCCCCGGCTACAGAAACTTCAGAATGTGAGACTTGTGAAGAGCTCAGTGTAGAACTTTGATCAGCAGCAATCCTATGAATTTATGTCATATTCCACTATAGGCACCGTTAGTGTTATTGTTCTTTGCTTTCATAAGAGTATTCACAACCTTTACAGGTCAGGTGTTGGGCGAATGTTACTTTGGAAAATCCGATCTTACTGGCAGAGGGAGTGGATCCTTAGCACTCATTGGGAGGGGCAGAGGGTACCAAGGCCCCTTCAACCAACCAATCTGGGATCACCACCAGAACTATCACCTTCCCCTGCCACAGCCTCAGCAGGAAGCTGAGAATCAGAAAAAGAAGCAGAAAAGCATAAGCTGTCCTGGAGATCCACTCTGCGATCAGCACTTCCACCCTGATTGCTTGTGGATGCTGGACCCTGGAATAGAAAGCAACTTGGTGTTAATTGAGGATGTGAACAGGTCAACCTCTGGAAGAGATTACCAAGTTCTCGAAAAACTTGTGGCAGTCAGGGCCACTTATTGACGTCCAGGATTGTCCTGTACAAATAGTTTGCCTAAAGATTCTTCTGACCGGGCACATAGGCAGCAGATAGCTGCAGGATATTGACTTGGGCATACTCTAGAATCAAAGAAACCTCCTTCAGGAGGGAGACACTAAGTGCCCCCCTTGTTTGCGGATGTAGGCCACAGTCACGGTGCTGGCTTACTTCACCAGGACAGGTCAACCCTGGATGAGGTTGTTGAAGGCTAGGTGAGCCTGAAATTCATTTCTTAACTCCTACTTTGCTGGTGTCTTACTACACCACCAGCCACTAAGTCTTTAAATGGGAATGGCATCGCAGAAGATTCTGCTTCTCCCAACTACATGTTTTGGCTCGCTTTCATACATGGCATAATCCATATCTTCTAACGTAGGCCCTCTGACTACTATAATTCCAGACACCCAACTTGATAGGGGGTGAGAATTCAACTTAACCTACTTGGCCTGCTGGATCTGAGACGTGAAGGATGAAAGATCTCCCAAATATGTCCTGAAATGCTTGCCTTGAGAGACTGTGTGTCTATCACCAAAGCTGTACCTATGTCCAAAGAGGAACCACCAAGTGCCCATAAGACATGTATGGATGGCACAATTCCCAAAACACCAGAAAGCATCCTGACATGAAGGTCTTCGCTGACTTCTTGGATTATGTGCTGGCATTTTCTTTGACTCCCAGCCAGAAATGCAGAAGCTACCCTCTCTGGAGTGAGAGTGTGGAAATGGACTCTTGATCTTCAGTCTCCCTTAACTCAACAGATGTTCATCTTGAGGCAGGAAGCCAAACTGACCACTATTAATTCAGACTTCACCTTCCAACATAAAAAACAAATGCAGTTATTGAGTAGATCCTTGAAGGCCACAAGATCTTCTAATGGTAAAGTCATGTATCTGGCCAATCCTATAAGGGACACACCGACCAAAGCAGTGATCCAAAACCCTTGACATCCTGCTGTGTCAACATGCTCCAATCTTGTAGAGCATACACTTGATTTATTCTCCATAAAAGAATTGTCAAACCGTCCTCTGGAGGCATTTGAAATACTTCCACAGCTTTGCTTCTATTTAAAGGAATTTCATCAAGCTTATAAAAGGAGGAATCAACAACCTAGACAAAGGTTGTCCTCGTCTTCTTGTTCAGAAAGGACTGATGAGGATTGATTGGCTCGAGAAGGCACTGAGACCAGTTATAATGGCCCTAAAAGAGAGACTGGACATTGCCAGAATAGATGGCTCTTGCAGAAGTTGAATTCAGCAATTCCTTTACAGTGGCTTGACCACATGCTTAATTAATTGTGACAACTTGGTCACGGTCATCTTAATCACAGTCTACTTGAACAAAGCAGGAATCATACAGTCATGTTCGTATATGTTCTTTGAATGAATCTGGCAAGGGTTGATTTAACTTAGAAGGTTCTGAGACTGCCAATTGGCAGAATATATGACCCCTTCACAAGGGGAGTGGAAGAAACTCCTTTAGCATGTATTGACCAAATGGTCAATGAATATGATAAATTGTTAGGTGTCAACTTCTTCATCCCTGGTTGCCTGAACCAGCAGGGCTCATACAGTCATGCTCACCTGAATCATTTCAAAAGATTCTGAGTAAGATTGTTTGCTTGGAAGGCTAGGAGATTGCTCATTGATAGAACCGATAACCCTTTCACAGTGTGAGTGGAAACATTCCTTTAGAGTGTATTAGCTTCATGTGACAACCTGTTAGGTGTCATCTTTATCCTTGGTTGCTTGAACAAAGCAGTATTCATGCAGTTATGTCCAACTGTATCATCCTCTTTGGAAACTATGAAGAGGGCTGTTTCATCTGGAAGGCTAGGCCGCTTCTCATTGCCAAAGCAAAAAAACTTTTCAGAGGGTAAGTAGTAACCACTTTAGATATTATTGACAATGTGTTTATTGAATGTGACATCCTGTTAGGTGTCATCATCTCTATCCCTTGCTGATTAAACCAGCAGGATAAATACAGTCATGCTCATCTGCATCTTCCAGTTCATAGAGTCTGAAGAGGCTGTCTTACCTGGCAGGACTATGAGACTTCTAATTGCCAAAACATACAACCTTTTCACAGGGTGAGTGGAAACAACACCTTTTGGGTGTACTGGCCACTTGTTTAATGAATGAGACAACATGTTGGGTGTCATAATCCTCATTTCTGATTGCTTGAACAAAGCTAGATTCATACCATCATGTCCACCCGTCTCTTCCCCTTTGGAGAATCTGAAGTGGCTGTTTTGCCTGGGAGGGCTATCAGACTGCTCGTTGCTAGAACACATAACCCCATTACAGGGTGAATGGAACACTTGGAAAAGAAGAAGGGTTTGGTCACACACAGAAGGTATGATGAAAAAGAGAAGATTGTTTATTGATCCATAAAAGGACACAAATCGCACTAGAACAATCCTGGTTTCACACACTCATATGCCTATTCATTTTTGTGAATCAA